GGGGGTAACTTCATACACGCAAACGAGAGCAGTAACCGCGGCACATATATTAGCAGGGCAATGTAAACATTCCTATGAAACTGCCACTGAAGTATTTTAAGAATTAAATGCAAGTATGCAGAATGTAAACTAAGTAATAGAAATATAACCACAGAATMGATAAAACTTCATGTATTATATGTGAATACTGAATATATGATATAATAACTACATATATATATATAGTCGAATCTTAAATGTGTGTTTAAAATAATAATGTAAATGTTTATTAGTCTAGGAGAAAAATGCGTGCCGRTGGTCGCACCTATCTGTCAGTGGTGGTGGCCCAGACGCACAGAGAGAGAAAAAATGTGTTCATCAGCTATATTTAGTTGCATATAAATAAAATATTGTATATATTAAATACACATATTGTGTGTATAAACACTATATTAACAGACAACAGTTTAACCTCAATCTCGAGGTTACCTAGATTCTAGAGCTGTGTTTCTTAAACTATTTCCGAGGAACCCCAGGGTTCCACAAATTCAAATGTTTTTTTTCCAAATATTCAAAAAAGTTACGTTGAAAAATCTTTAAAAATGTGTGTTGGACGAGCACTTTTATATCAATTTGTACTGATGGAGCTGCTAATATGACTGCAGGCAGGCATGCAGGATTAGTCACGAAAATGATAAACAAATCTTACTCCAGATATTGGTAAGATATGCAGTCAGATTCAAACTCATCCATCACATTAAGATTTATGCGCTAATTTTAATAATATATAATTGAATCAAATATTAGGCATTAAATAATTTTATTATTTTTCATTATTAGTTTTATCGWATATTTCCTGCAATAAAATTCARACATTATGTTATATTTTAATGTTTTGATACTTCCTAAATAAATAATTTTATTACATTTTGCTGTATTTAGTATATTAGATGTATTAATAGTATTATTATTGTTGCCGTTCATTGTTATGTTTAGTGGTAAGGGTAACTTATTTTTTTGAAGATAATTTTTGTAGGGGTTCCGCCTAAAAACATATTATTGTTTGGTGTTCCGTGATACCAAAAAGTTTAAGAACACTGCTCTAGAGTATGAGGATTATCATTCAAGTTTTATTCATTCCCAAACCCATCCCCCATCGGCGCGCAGCGTGTCTACGGCCTATAAAATACGTTATCGGTGAGTGGCGTACGCAGTGGAAGTGTTCTAGGTCTCTGACCCCTCACCCCCCTAAAATTTCTTCATTTTACAAAAAAAAATGTATAAACTACCATTTTCAATACACTGTGTCGATCAATTGTTGATAATTTTTAATATACATATAAAATAAAAAAAATTGTTATAACTAATAATATATAAAAACTGTTAGGTAAAAAATAATATAAATTATTTACATATGGACCGCTGCTTCCCTAACGATATATACAAACTGCAAGTTTATTAACTTTCAAGTGAACTATAGATTCTGGAAGATATTCATACCTATAGTATATCTGATAGGGACTACCCCGAAGAGCATATTAAGGGGTCGTGACAACCCCTCATAATTAAAAAACATTTTTTACAGTTATACCCATAGGCCTGTACACATGGTCACACATATAATATATAATATGATTAAATATATAAGTTTAAAGATTTAAAATATGAGAACAAAAATTGTATTTATTGAGAAAATACTCATTCCAAGCTTAAGAGGCAAATTATGGCAATTGTTGTCGCCATCTTACAAGTACGAAACATACCATATTTGCGCTCATAAGATGACTTTTAGCTTCTTTAGTTGAAAAATGAAAGTGAATCAACCAACTATGAAACTTGATGGTAATAAATTATCTATGTTTTATTGAAAAAAAATTTGTTTTTCCCAATGGTTACGATACTGAGAGTTATCTAAGTGAAAAAAAAAATACTTAATTCTGAAAAAGACATTTAGGGTGATACAGAAATAACAAAATGATTTTAAAAAATGACATTATTAAAAGAATGAAGAACCTCTATAATGAATCGAAATATATGTTATAAAATGTTCAATTATATAGTATAGGTACCTACTTATATATTATGAATTATGATAATTATTCATGTTCATTTTTTAAAATATTGATTAATAATATTTAATATATTAAATTATATATATATATATATATATTAGTATATTACTTATTAAAATTAGTAGGCCGTTGTTCATTGATTGCGTTGTTACAATTTTAATATGTCCAGTTTTAAAAACACTTAATTAAATAATTAAACAATTAGGTTAAGGTTAAGTTAGATAAAATAATATATATTTAATAATTTTAAGAAGATATATTTTTCTAATAATTGTTTTTATCCTAAGATAAAAAAAACCTAGCAAAAATCATAAAACAAAAGTGTACAGACAGCCACTTAAAATCAAAAATTATGAGATTGTTCTAGAAAGAAGAAATCTTATTTATTTTTTATTAATTAAGCATCAACTACACAGGCTTTTTACAAAAATTTTACATTTTTTTTATTATTATTCATTAGTTTTAGTAATAAATTATCAATTTCATATTAACCATCATTACCACGCACAGATATTACTATTAATTGTGGATGTGTTAAGAGGACGTCGCACCTGTTTGTGTTGTTTCCGTCTTACTCAGTTACACATGTACTATACATTACATATATAGCAAATAGTCGTTTATTAGTTTCAATAGTCTACTGTTAGTTTTGATATTAGACTGAATTGACCCACTATTAAACTTTTAGGTAAGAACATTATCTGTGTTCGATCGTTGGTTTTTTATTATATTTTAATTTTRATTTATGTATTATGAGTAAAGTATAAATATTTGAAAACGTACATAACTCATTTAAAAATTAAAATATCATAAAAATCAAACGAGAGAACACAGATAATCTTCTTTCCTAAATGTTTGGTAATGGGTCAATTCAGTCTAATATCAAAACTAACAACACACTTACTATTGAAACTAGTGGTGAAAATTTGCTATGTAGTATATTTTTGTAAAATGTGTTTCAGGGGAATTTACGGAAGTGTAATACAGTAGCAAAATAATTTTAGGGGAATTTACAAAAATTGTAATACGGTAGCAAAATGTTTTAGAGGAATTTGCTATTTCATCTTTTAGTGAAGCTTACATTTGGCCATAATACAATACCTATTGTAATGTTTTTTATAGACATTAGATCCAGTGTTTTTTTTTACTAATAAATTATTTCATTATTCTAGTATTTTATGTAAGATCATGAATACCTACAACATATTAATTTATATTGAATTATTTTCCGAGATTTTTTTAAGAAGACAGTAATTATACTGGTACATTAGTACCTACATCAAGTTGCTAAATTTACATATTTGGCAACAAAACTGCTGATTTCATGGTATCCGCAATTTCAACATTCTGACGTAACATGCGTACTAATGTAATAATCATAGTCCATAGACATACCTATTATTCTAGTGATAACGTTAATCAATTATTTATATGTCTAGGGTAATAATACATTTTAAAAATTCTAATACCTACCCGGGAGGTCAGGAATAACATTATTTTTAAATTACAGTCACAATAATTACTCGAAGTTAAAAGGGGATAAAAATTTGCGACGAAATATATTGTGTTATTGGAGATACCTGACTCAAATATTATATCAAAATCAAGTTTTAGAGAAGTAAAAAAATTTCGAGTTGTCAACATTGTCAAGTTTTTCGAATTATCGAGTTTTCACAACTAGACCAAATAACAAAATATAATCGTAATTCATCGTTTAAGCTGGTATTTCATTCCAATTCGCACTTGAAATATCTATAAAAAACGAAACTGTGTTTATTTTATATTTTTGGTTACGAATGTTACGATATGAACTCAGAACTACTTATGTAAAACATCGCATTACATTTTTAATCCTCGCCTAAAAAAATAAAAATATGTACATAACAATATTTAACTATAAAATAATTTGTATATTTTCGAGGTTTTGACTTTAAATGTTTWTAAAAATAAATCATGACTAGGTATATATCGCCCATTGTCCTTTCTGCTATTATTATAACTTATATGAATGAATAATTTTGTATCRCATTTTAGAGTACCTACCTAATGTTGAAAGTAATTATATAAATAGCTYAAAACGAGTCAACATATYTTGAAAACTGTATTATTTATAGAAAATGATTAAATTATCTATTGATCTATTGACTATTATGGTTATTCGTTTTTAAATTACAATAAAATACGAAAATTGTTAGATGACATTTTCAATACATCGAAAAAAAATTGTTTTAGGTATTTTTTCTGATGTAGAAAAAATTTAAACTTCGTGAGCTTAAACGCTTATAAAATTATTATGATTTTTCGATTAACTTTTTTTAGTACAATTTTTTTATGAATTTCTAACGCAAAATATTTTGTAAATTTTCGTGATTTTGACAAAATTCAAACTTCAAACGCTCTAAAAATAATACTGTGGATTTAAACTTGATTTTTCTAACTAAGATTTATTAAAGGTGATTAAAAAAACTTATAAAAATCGAGATCACCTTATGCCTATAATTAGTTCAAAAAGGCTTGGTACTCAAACAATATGAATACTTTTTAAAGCGTTGGTATTTATTGCTTACTAAGCCGGGTCATCTATATTATTATAGTTTCCAAGACGAAGGTAGATACTTAAATTAGGATGGTCAGTGGTCACTATACTTTCGTAGTTTCGTTATTGTTGAATTATGTTAAAACACAGTTTTTAGAAATTACAGATATTGATTGTTTTACAACATGTTWTATCATCTACCTCCTCAGTATTTATTATAAATCTAACCATAAAAAATTGGTTAAGCTTTTCCTAGTTTGCAAGACGGAGAAACAAATATTTAAGTGGAAGTCACCCTAATAATTAATTTTTATTTTTTAATGAATTTCTTCAATGATTTTTATTTTTAAAGCAACTTAACTTAAGTAATTTTATCATACAAAATATAATGTAAACAGTCTGGAATATACAGATACAGTGTTAAATATATCTTATAGTTTTAATGGTATTTTAATATTTAGTAGGTATATCAAAACCAGCATAATATGCATAATGATAAAAGAAAGGAAGGGATAGAGGCATATTAATTTAATCTGATTTATCAGGGCCATATTAATATGGATTATTTACATATGAAAAAAGGGTTCATTCAGTGTTTTTATTTTCAGAAGACACTATGCAATACCAGTAATCCCTAGACTAATAAATTTACCATATTATAATATAATGGATTTATATAAAGATATTATTTTTGAAGTATTTTTAATTTCTATAAGTAAGATATTAAATGTTTTAATTACTTTTATAACAATTTTAAAATTAATAAATATATTTTAACCATGGTGATTTTTAATAATACAGTTAATATTGACGAAAGTAATTTATACGTTTAATTTTTTGTTAATAGTTGGGTTATTGGTTATGGTAACATCATCTCTTGAACCTATTTCTAAAGGCTTTTTTTGTGATGACGAGACAATTAAATACCCATACAAGACATCAACTGTTGGGAAATCATTCTTATGTCTGTTTTATCTTTTTCTACCAAATGTTTCGGTAAATATTTTATAAATTTTATGCAATTTAAATTTTTTAAATTAATTCATTATTTTTGATGTTATAGAATCTTTATTAAGACATAAGATAATAATWATATGTAGTTATTATAATGGAATTATTGTAKTTAACCATTCATCTTAAACTTCACTAAAAATCCTATATCAATGAAACTATTATTTTTATTTTTACTAATTTAAATATGTTTATTTTTTTCATAGATATTTCTACAAAATAGTATTAGACTACATTATTACAATTTTATATATTTTTATTCTTAGTTTTAAATTTAAMACTTTAATATTCTTTCCRTTAAATACCATTAGAATCAGTGGCAGCGTGATAGGGTGTTTCATGAGGCAATTGCCTCACACCRATTAGGTGGTGGTACTTCCTTGAATGGATATTAAAATACACATATTATGGTCAAGTGGTCAACTAATACTATTTATACTAATTATATAATAATTAGGATAATTTGTACCTCACGCGTGGTTACTGGAAATACACTATGTGTAGCGTGTACAATAACGTGGTATCGTGGTAACTGCACAAAACTGGAAACACTATAAAGTTGTATTGTTATTATTTATTAATATATTATAAAATATAAGTTATGAAGCGTCTGTGTGATAATATTTAGGTGGTGGTGGTCGAGCATCTATACTTGCTTCATGAAATAAAATAGTTCACGCCGCCACTGATTAGAATAAAACARTACAGCCAATTCAATATCAACATTTAAATCACGTCCAATTATATTTTTATTCAATACTAAATTTAGTATTTCAACATTATTATTCATGAGTATTTTTGAATTTTAGATAAGTTTGAAGTATTACTGGACCATGCATAAAAACATAAAAAGCCTATATGTGATTATAATTTATTTCTGGTTGGGTTCTGGATTAGCACAAATTACAGTAAATCTGGGAAAATATTACACTGGACGTTTAAGACCTCACTTTTTTTATGCATGTAAACCAAGTATTGATTGTAMATCACAAATTCAATACATTTCAGAATACACATGCACAAATCCAGAAGTATCTATATCAAAYGATTCAAGGTAGATTATTTGAACTATTTAAGAAAATTATTTTACTTTATAGCAAAAAAAAATAAATATATATATTTATTTAACTGAATATTTCTATTATGCATATATAAAATTATTTCAGGGCATCTTTTCCATCAGGCCATGCATGTTTAGCATTCTATTCAACAGTTTACACAATTGTAAGTGTATTAGAGAATATAATGAGTAAAATAACTTAGATAACATAATATTTGTAACAAATGAATTAATTATTTGGTCATGTTTAAAAGTTGTACCTACACAATTATAAGAAGAGTGTAGCTTGGATTATTATTCAATTCACATTATTTATATCTGCATGGTATACAGCTTTAACTAGAGTCACTGATAACATGCATCATTGTACTGATGTAATAGCTGGTTCAATTATTGGTACATCATTTGCTATTTTAATGGTAAATAAAATAATATATTGTATTATTATTATTATTACTATTATTGCATATTATATATATAACTATCAAAGTATTTACTCAATGTGAAAAATTAATCAAACAAGTTTTATTTTAAATAGATGTATGAAGTGAAGACACKGATATCTCTAGAAAAYGATAATGCAGACTGACATGTATATAATTCAATATAATTTCTTTTTATCATATGTTTACAGCACCAATATTAAATATTATTATTATGCACTCTATCATTTTCAAGTTGAGCTAGTTGCTTAAGAAATCCATCATTAGGTCGTATATCTCTTGCTTTTTTTACTTTTTCTACTGCTTCCTTAGCTCTTAATCCTTTTTTTATCATTAAATAAGCAATTGTAATTGTTGCAGACCTTGAAATACCCATTATGCAATGAACCAAAACTTTACCTACAAATACAAAGCATATGGGTTTTTAGTTTTTTACCCATTTTAGTAATAATTAATTAATACTAACCTTTTTGTGATAGTGCATCATCTATAAAATTTGATACGCTATCAAAATATTCATTTATTGCAACATTAGGATCATCACACAAAGCCAAACCCATGTAATGAATATTAAATGGACGATAAAACTGTTCATTTGTATCAACCATACCAAACCCAATGCCTTGAGCTGCATTCACGACATGTGTGATACCCAGTGATAGTAATAAATTAATATTTTTTGCGGTGTTCCTATAAAAAAAATTCCAAGACTTAATATGTTAAAATAGTTACTTTATTAAATGTATTTACACTTACCAATCTCCAACATAAATATTTGGACAAATTTCATTATAATCACTTGTTGATATATATTTTTTTTTAGGAGGAGGTTGGGTACGTAAAAGAACAGCTTGTAGGTCCTCAAAAGTAACTTCTTTTATTGGATCTTTTTTACGAAACTTTGCTAGTAAATATTCCATTTTTGACAGCAAAATATTTTATTATAATATATTAAAACCAATTGACAATAGAAATTACCTATAAAATAAAAACTATCTTTAAAAATGAAAAATTATTTATTTTATACACATGTATAACATTGTTTATTTGTGTGTATTATTTTTCCGTCATATATTTCTACATCAAACATTACTTGTAAAATATTATCATCATAAAAAATAATTTATGTTGAAGTAAAATATATAGGAATATAGTTTGTATCTAGGTAATTATATCTTTTGTTAAATTTAATAGTTATTATATTAAGTTATTATTTTATTTTTAATGATCAATTTGCTCTTCAACAAGTTGAACAACTAATTAGTTCTTAAATATAATAATAGTACAAAATACAAATGCATATGGAAATATAGAATATAGATATAAAGTACCAAGTTAATTCCTAACCAGACTATTATTATATATTAATAACAAACATACAGTTGTGCAACGTCATAAAAATGTTATTATAATTTATAAATTATAAAACTACACCAAAAACAGAATTACACATTATTATTATACATAATTATTTGAAAGTAGTAGATAATTTGATTTCAGTAAACCTTTGAACCAAAAAATTGATTTAACATTAATAAGTTGATGTTACAACAGCAATTTAGTTTATACTTGCTATACTTATTTTAGTTATTATCTAAATCAGTTTTTTTTAATTTTAATTAAATCTGTCAAGTGGAACTATTGAATACCTCCACAATTTGTAATTTTTTAATATTTTAAGCTGTTATAAAAAATTACTTATTGTACAAATATTGAGGGGATGTCAGCGCAATCTCTCAGACCCAATTTGATTAATCTTAAGAGTAAAATCTCCTACTACAAAAATTATAGAGGATAATATTTTTGAGGGAAGGTATGACATATCAGTTTTAAATTTTATCATTATTTGACTTTCAAAATCATATTAAAAAATTGTGTTTTGTCAATGTTGGGAGAGAAAACAGAGTGCTGATATCCTGTAATTATGCATTAAAAAAAAAATTCTATCCTWTAAGATTATTTAAAAACAAAATACATATACCAAAAGATTCATTTAACGTAAGACATTCATTATAATTAATGTTTTTTACATAGTTTAAAGTCGTAACAAAACTTTTTTATTTAAATTATTTTTATCATTATAATTTTATAAAGTTTCTGGTTTTTACATTTACAACTGCTATGGATTGGTGTCCCGCATTGCTTAGTTTAGGGTCAACTAGGTAATTAATATGTAGATACCACCTGGGTGAGCCACCATGCTAAGGGGATGGTTATTGAATATAATAATAATAATAGATTAAAGGATGCATAAAAATGTGGGATAATAATTAAGAATCATTAAAGGAAAGCGATTCATGGAAATAGATTAACATCATAAAAAACTGTAAGGGTAGTATGAAGCAAACGGATATGACGGGTATAGATAGGCGTTGCATATACACAGGTCGCGGGATCACATATTACTAATAGAAAAGAGTTCCAAGAAATGATGGTCAAAATAATGAATATTTTGACRTAATAATTAAATAGTAGTAATATAACAATCGATAATGCAACCACACACGACGCATATTTGCATACATACGTGGGTAGAAGGATTTCCGTAGGGAGTAGATGATTACCAGCTCCATGGAAACATAAATGATATTGCTTAGGCTATGGTGAGTAGAGGGTATATATAAGAGACCCCCCCCCCCCAAACAGACTGCATTCAGACGTGATTTGACTAAGAGTAGAATAGCACTTTCACACTAGTCTGTTTTCTGTTTTAAATAATTTAAACTTAGAATAATTTGTGTAGTATAAAATTTTGGACTTAAATATAAACGAGTCAAAWTGAATATTTTCTAGACACTTAGAACTATTAATAAAAACAGGATGATTCACCAAACATGGTCAACTCTATTTCACCCTTAAAAATTGAACTTAAATATACCTACTCAGTTTTTTTTTTTTATTCTTGCAGTTAATGATACTTCTTATGGAATGTATTAACGCTACACGAATTTATGTTTTTCAAATGAGAACCCTTTTTTGGGCAGTTAATTATTTACAAGATARTTTTGATATATTAGAATCGAAATTGGAATGAGTAGACTTAAAGTTATTTAACTTAGTAAATTAAGTCCATGATAATGAGTTTGGAAAATATGGGTCTTATAGTAACTTAAAAATGTTTGGGGTTAATATTAATTTATCAACATTAACAATTTRTAAAAAGAATTAATGTGTAATAAATACTATATCCAATATAACATCTGTTTTATACTTATGTAAAACAACTTTTAAGACCTACTATCCTTAGAATCTTTAAAAAAAATTACATGCTAAATAATTTACCAAAAAAAAAGGTTCTTATTTCAAAAATAGAAAATTTGGATCATCACAGGACATCCCTTAAGAAGCACAAAACAATTTAAGAATTTGAAAAATRATCTGAGTATATTTTAAATTTCTAGAAAACGCAATTTAAATAATGCTATTTTAGTTCAATTAATTATACCTAATCAAAAATAATTTATTTAGAATTTTGATCAGCTTCATGAATCAAGTTTATAAAATCACTAATTAAATTAATGTATATTTAAAAAGTTTAATGTATAAACTAGAAGAAGATTGGTACAAATTACTGATAATTGCCTGTGTACAAACTTACATTTATTTTAACTTAACCACATAAATGTAAACATTACTGATTACTTTTCATTCATATACCTCACAATAAAAAATAACTAATGTAAACTTCATAATGAAAGTATATACCATAAGCAGTACCTACAGTAAAATAATTAATAATTAGACAAATATCTTATTCTAGAAAGCCTTGATGTATAATACCATTATTATAATTCATGACTCTCTAGCTTACTCTAAAAAGAAATATTATTTTATAAAAATGTTTATGTCTATTAAAGCAAAATGTAAGGTACCTACTCTGTAAGTTGTTTGTTTATGACTCGTAACAATAACATAGTGAATTTTGAAACTGAACGATTTTTTTTTGTATTAAAATATTTCTTCAGATGAATAAACATGCAAACGTTTTAGATAACACTATAATGGACGATGATTAATATGGATATTTTTTACGGCATTAATCACAATATTGGTACAACCGGTATGAGAAAATGTAGTTGCTGTGGTCAGCCAGAAATGATTGATAATAATGGATTACGTAGGTGTTTATTGTACATGGGGATACACAAGAGAGTCGAGTTATTTTGCTTTTAATTAACATAAATTCTGAGCAGCATGACGAACCATCGAATGAATATTTTGTAGAGCTTTCTGTCACAAACTATCGCACACGCAAATTAACGTAGTTTGATGTCATAACTCATAATTAAATTGTTTTTATCCTCGTTCAAAGAAAAAATGAACTGTACTCGACCAGCAGCGGCAGGCGGAAGCCGCTGCAGATAAGTTTGCACTTAAGAATTAGAAGATAGCAGTCGCCAGTCTGCACTTCAAACTTCAGTCAGCTCGCAAGTTCGTACCGTTCATGCCGTTCATGGTTGATAAAAAGCAAAAAAAGTAAATAGAAATCATGCTTATATTTTTATGGATAAGGCAGGATTCGATACATGATTGGTGAGCCGCGGTGGTCGAGGTCCAAGCACAGAATAGATTACATTGTTATCTAYAACCGTTTACCACGGTTACAGTTAGTTTTCAATAAAATAGATAAAATTCTATGATGTGGTACCATAAAGCTGTAATATATTATAGTGTATATTATATGCTTTTGGTAATGGTAAAATCCAAAAAGGGACACACACACACACATAAGATATTATGAATTAGATAAGTATATATATGAGGACGTTTTACCGATACGGCGATACAGCAACGAGTTAAGAGATATGCCATCTTATGGATGATGAGCGTTGAAAATTACTAAAGGACGCATTTACCAAGACATCCAGTTCAAGATGTGAATTACCTACAGTTTTATCGTTTTAATAGTAATAAAAACAAATATTAAAAATATTCATAATGTTTAGTACTAGATAGTATTTAATCACAGAATTATGAGTGCAATAATTCTAGTCATGACTGCAGTGATACAATTACAATCGTAGTAATAATAAATATTTTCTAGTTTTTTTTTTTATATTAAGACAAAAAAAAACGACACAATGTGTCTGGTGCTCAAGTACATGTTTATACTCTTATGGCTTATATACACTTTCGTCTCCATTATACTTCTATTCAGCAAGGGACTATTACTGCACAGAGATGTGTTGCCAAACAAGTCCATTTGCGAAACTGATGTCGGATCTCTTCAAGAGTTGACACAGAACTGCACAAAAACCGATACTAAAGTAGTGATAATAATTATTGATGCATTACGCTATGATTTTGTCTTTAATTCAAAACAGGACATGCCATATACAAACAAGATCACAGTGTTCAGGGATATATTGGCCAGCTATCCAAAACAGTCAAGATTATACAAGTTCATTGCTGATCCCCCAACCACGACTATGCAAAGATTGACTGCTCTCACTACTGGAAGTTTGCCTACTTTTATAGATGTTGGTTCAAATTTTGCAACTGAAGAATTATTGGAAGATAATGTTATTGATCAATTAGTGAATAATGGAAAAAAAGTTGTGTTCATGGGAGATGATACATGGGCAAATTTGTTTCCAAAAAGATTTTACAGAAATTATACATACCCAAGTTTCAATGTTTGGGATTTGGATACTGTTGATGAAGGAATCAAGAAAAACTTATATCCCGAAATTGTAAGAGATGATTGGGACGTGTTAATTGCTCATTTTTTAGGAGTTGACCATTGTGGTCATAGATATGGACCTAATCACAAAGAAATGGAAAGGAAGCTTAATGAAATAAATGTAGTTTTGAGGTAAGAAGTATTCTTAGATCTAATTGACTTCTCTATTACTGCTTACCTGGGTTAGATATATTAATATATTATTTTAAATTTTAGAGATATATTAAAAGAAATTCTTGGTCGTGAAAATATCATGCTTTTTGTATTTGGTGATCATGGAATGACATCAAATGGTAAGTAAATATATGATTTTTTCATCAAAATTAATGTTATTTAATATTTATTAAAATTACTGTGTGTTGTCAGGTGATCATGGGGGAGAATCTGAAAATGAATTAACATCTGCACTTTTTGTTTTGTCATCATCTCAAGAATTACAACCAAAAACAGAAATTGATGTTAAACAAGTTGATTTAGTACCTACTATATCAACATTAATGGGTGTTCCTATTCCATTCTCAAATATTGGCTCTCTTATTAAATCAGCTTTACCACAAAACTATCATTTAGTCAATAGTATATGGAGAAATGCTAAACAGATAAATGATTATCTTACAACTTACTCATTACAAAATGACGAGCTTAATGATAAGCATATTCATTTTATTAAAGATACATTCAAAATGTTAGATATTCAACATAACACTTTTGTGAAAAGTTGTGAAAATTTTATGCAATTAAGTAGAAGAGCTTGTGAAGAAGTTTGGATACGTTTTGATGAAAGTTCTATTTATAAGGGTTTAGTCCTAATGTTTGTATCATTATATTTCAGTTTCTTACTTGTTGGCTCATCTGCCTTAGATCATTATGATAAAATTACTGGAAAGCAAGTGCTCATTATATTTTCCATAGTTGTTCCATTGAATTTAATTGCATTTCTATTTTATTTTTATAAGATGATTCATATTACTATAGTRTTTTTTGTTACCGGATTTATAGGTACTATTTTTCTTGCTTTATTTTGTATAGCTTGTTGGTCATCATTAACTCAAGATTTTCTTAATACAAATAAACCTGATAAAATATTAATACGTATATTTACTGTATTAACTACTCTTGGATTTTTTTCTAATAGTTATATCATTGAGGAATCRTATGTGTTGCATACATCATTTGTTCTTTTACTATGGTATCTRGTTGTCAGATTTAAATTAGAAAACAGAAAAACATGGTTTCGTAATAAAATAAAACCTAAAAACTTTTCACTTAAACATTGGGTCACATCATTAAACTGCAAAGTTGTGTGGTGTTCAATTCTGTTGTGCATTATATTACGTTATTCTCATTCATTTTGGAAATGCCGTGAAGAACAAGGATGGTGTTTTGAAGATGGAGCTCAAACCAAAACTGGAAATTCAATTATTTCAATAATTCTTATAGTAGTTTCTGTTACTGTTGTACATAAGTCATTGAAATGTTCTGGAAACCTAACTGGATGTTCTTTAAATGTKTATTTGTCTTCAATTTTGCCAAGAATATTTACTGTACTGTTGTCTGTCCATTGGATATTTGATTCTTCATTTCAACGTCTCAAACATACCATACCATATGTGGCTTACATACCTAATGTTATCATATTATTAACTGTAGTATTAGTRATAACATTATTTTTAAGCCCATTGCTTGTACACTATGTGGACTTACAAGAAGGAAAAGCTAATAATCAATCAGAGAATTTTTATCAACTGGTTCTCAGAATAGCAAAAAATATTGTGAAAATGCAGTTAGGTCCACATATTCAAGGTTATCCTATAGTATACGGACTTGCCACAGTTTACAGCTCAACATTTCTGATATTTTCCATATTGTTATGTATTTTTGGAGGATTGCTATTTGGATATGTATATGCAGCGTCAGTTATTATCATGATAATTTCCATCTGGATAATGGCCATGATTGTTTCGGTCATAAGGCATAATCAATGTACCAAAATCAGTTAGTGTTTATGTGTTATTTTTTACAAATTGTTCATTATGCATATATATTTATATATAATATTTTTAAGTTACCAAATGCACAATGAAAATTAAATTTATTTACTACATAGTAGCAATTATGAACATTTTGTTGGTATATGATAATTAATATATAACTGTGTACAAATAATTTGTAATTATTTTTATAGATGAATTATATACTGTAAGCTGGTTGTATATTTTGCTGTGGACTTTATCATCATCATACTGGTTCTATGGTACTGGACATAATTCTTCTTTTCCTGCAATACATTGGAATGCAGCATTTGTGTTACAATCAAATATAGAAAATAATACATGGCTTCCTGGATTTTTTATTTTAGCGAACACATTTTTTTCACATGCCGTTCATGCATTTTTATTGCCGGTAATTTATAGAAAAATAATAAAAGTTTGATTTGTTTTGTATATTATTTTTTTAAATATAAATTTTTCACTTTAAATATATAGATATAGTTTCCCACAGTCAGAAATAAGAGTGCATTTAAGAATTTTATTTTCTTAATATTTTAACTTTTAACACAGTTTTCATRAATAAATAATTTTAAGCTAAAAAAACTTTACAATAACCAATCAAAATATTTATTCAAAAGTTTATTATATTTGACTTTATGTAACGTTTTTGATTATAGCTTCTATTAATATGTCCATTTGCTATTCATGGTGCTTGGTCAGGAAAATCATTGCCTCCCAAAGATGAAGATGAACAAACAATGGCTAGAGGTGAATTATTACTAGCTGAAAAATCAAGACAAATGATACATGGTGCATTTGATTTAACTGCTAAATATATTCTCGCTAATTGTTTTAGGGTAATTATTAAATACTTATTAGCTACTTAAATTTTTAATGTTTGTTCAATTAATAATTACAGAAATATATTATTATTATTTTTAATATCAGGTGGCTATGGTCATGGCAGCAGCTACCATTCATTCACGTCATTTAATGATGTGGAAAATTTTTGCTCCAAAATTGATATTTGAAGGGATAGCACTATTTATAACATTGCCTTTTTCTTTTTTTGGGTTTATTCTTATGTATCGTGTGACTCAACACATAAATGTGTTATTTGAAAGAATTATGTCACAACACTCAAATTAATTTTTTTTATACATTCTATGACTGTTTAATATTTAGTTTTTTGTTTTTAAATATTCAAAAAAATGTTTTTAACTTAAGTTTAAAGTTAAAATAATTTCTCAAATAATTTAAGTAAAACTTTTTAATAACTAGATTCTTTCACATGTATATTATAAACTTTATACTAAAAATAAACTAAAAGGTAATTTCATTTGTAATTTAGAACTACCAGAATCTTATCTAATATTGTAGTACTACAGTTCATAGAAGGTACCCTATATTTATAGAGCTTAACCAGCTTATCACGTTTTACATGTTTAATTTTGTTTTGACGTTTTGTATTAATTTGTATGTTTTATTTAGTTTTAATATATAAGCCATGACTGATTGTAAGTAGATATAATTAAAATCATTCTTTGAGTAGTAATGTATGCATTCTTTATTTTTATTCATTTATAAAATTGAAACTAATTTTATTCTGAAGCATTCATACCTCACTCACTAAATACAATGCTATAATAGTCATTGCTCTACGTATTGGTCTATAGCATCCTTTTTTTGTGAATGATAATCAGTTCTATTACTCTAGTTCTTTTCCTAAAACTTTTTCYAGTCTTACTATGAGCTCAAGAAWTTTTTTTTTAGTTCATACAGTTTTGATTATCTCTTTTTTTCGGTTAATATTAGTTAATAATATGTTTTTCTAGATGTTCAAATCTTTACRGTTCTTCTGTATTTCCATATTTGTACAGTAAAAGAGATTTTTATTAAGAA